ATACTTGGGTCAGTTCCGGTTCTGAATTTCTGTGGCCATGGCCAGCACTGGTACACATTTAGTCTTGCATGCTATACAACACTTCATAGTGACAAGGTGGTTTATAAATATTCACTGAGATAGTACCAGTGATTTTTTTTTAATTAAAATGAAAGAAAGTCCGGAGGCAAATATTTTGGAGGAAAACCTAATAAATTAGTTGTCAAAGTCATATCCACTACCATGAAGGAGATGGTTTGGCTTCTTGGAGTGAGGGCTGAGTGGGTTCTATAGCAGGAGGCCGAGGAGCCTTGCCAGTGAGGAAGGCTCTGCTTGCGGGGCTTCTCATTTCTGGGTTGTTTTTCTGATGAGCATCTGAAGAACTCGCTCAAGCACATGTGCTCTTTGATTGGCAGTGTGGCTGAGAAGTGCTATGGAAACTCAGCCACACGCCAGTCTTCTTACTTCAGAGCTCTTCAGGAGCAGGAGTGATGACTTACTTTTCTGAAACAGTGATGGAAACAGAGGCGGATAGGATGCAAGAGATACATCGTCATGGAGGTCTTACAGTCCCAAGGTCTGTGCTGAGGGAATGAAAAGTGGCTAAGGGAGAAGAGCTGGGAAACTAGGGGTGGTCCATAGCTCAGGAGGCAGGTGGAGATGGAGAGGGAGGCAGCTGTACAGCCAATCAAGGACCACACACACCTTAGCTAGGTCTTTAGATGTTCATCAGAACAGCAATCTGGAAATGACTGCTTAGCATCAGTGGGACAGCAGTGCTTGCCATAGTAAATTAACAGTTCGCTTGCTCTGGTCTCACAGTTTCATTGGCATTCAGCTTACAAGTTTTTACTTTGGCCTTTTAGTTACATATCTGTAAAATATTTATATCTCAGTTTATGTCTAGGCATACTTAAAAATGTAATCATAAAAATAATCTGTCCAATCTAGAGATTTTAGAGTTCCTTCTCTCCTTTAATAAGCCATGGTTGATATCACCCAAAATTGAGAAGAAAAAATGGTCTTCCCTTATTTTTATGCCAGATAAAACAAGAAACAGAATTTGAAATTAGCTCATCTTCAGAATTTATATTCGGGTGCTCTCTTAAGGCACAAGGATTGATGTCAATGATAGCTCAAAGATAAACATCCTGAACTGAAAACCTAACAATTACCTTTAGCACCTGCGAGATGTCACAAACTCCAACACACAAGGATGAGTACAGCATATATTGAGAAGTGGCTACAGTGGAGGTGTTTGAGACATGCACGGGGTAATACCCATCGGCTGTGACTAACATGGGGACATAAATTAGGGAAGTGACAGGTACAGACTTAGTGTAAAGATGGCACTTAAACCCCAAAAAGCTAGACATGTATGCCAGGTGGAAAGTGTCAGTGTAGGGGATGTGAAATTTTGTCTGGCTAAAACTGGGTCAAGTTCTAACTAAAATACTACAAGGAGAGAAAGTTTTGAAGGACAAGATGCATTGCCAATAGTGAGAAATACAGAGAATCTGCTAGGCCTTTGATCTTACAGGAGATCACCATGAGCTCAGCAGCTGCGGTCCAAACGTGGACTGCGTGGCCGCCGCTTTAGCGCACCTCGTGACCAAGGATTAGTGTCTTCTATGAGTCTCCCTGGTTTGCCTTCAAATCTTCTCCCCACCTCACTTTTAACACGCTTGTTAGTTATGACACGCGTGTTCCTGTGACAGCGCTCTGCCATTCACAGATAAACGCACTAACTGTCAGGGCGTCCTCTTTCCGCAGCTTATTTAGGTTAATGGGAGGCAGGAAAAAATGGGAGGGAGTCGAAGAGGAAAAATGTGGGGTGGATCTCACTACAGCACTTTCTTTTCATTCACCTCAGCTGTCCTCTCAGCTCCTCAAAGACCCAACTTACCCTTTGTCCCTCCTCCATCTCTACAATACTGAGCTTCCTCCTTAGAAATCCAGCCTAAAGTTCCTGCCTCCTTCCTCTTGACTTTTCCTTTCATCTAAGTTTTGGAAAAAAATAGCTGATAGTCACTGTCACCATTGGACACAGCAAATAGAGATATGCATTACAACACAGAACAGCTTATAGTCACTGTCACCACTGGCAATAGCAGGTATAGGTAGGTATTACAAGAAAATATAAATTGGGGGCTTCATTGCTTCTGACCCTGGTTTTGGCCTGAATGGAGTTCTGTACCAGCTACTTTATTTTCTGTAGATGGTTGGATGTGCCTCTGAATGAATATGTTAATGTAAACATCAGTTTCTTTATCATAATATCTGCTTTGGACTGGTGTTTTGAATGGTTATAAAAGAAAGCAAGATGCCTTGGCAACAAGACATGAAAAAAAAAAAAAAGGCAAGTAAGCCCAGTTTTTGCTAACGCCATTAATGCTGTTCCATAGCTCAAGCTACTTATCTTAGAACGGTTTCTGTCTTCAAAGGGGAAGCAGCTACTGATAGAATCACACCATCCATCATGCAAAGCAGCAATGGTGGGGCTTCTTGTACCACAGTTCTA